CTTGCAGCTCACTGCTCTTTTCTTCATAACATCACATCTAAACTAGATCAAAGCATTTACTTCCTGCTTATAGCTTATACAAAGATTTTGTTTCAATTTATTTTTTTACCTGAAATAATGACTCAAAATATAGGCTTACTAGAGAACTAAACAACTGTAGAAAATCCAAGGATAACACAGGGTTCTATGAGGTAATATTTCTACTGTTTTCTGGGCTGCTCTAGAGATAAAAATATTAGAGTTCAAAATTCAAAGTGAGGGGAAAAATTTAACTGACTCACTATACAGGGGCTAAAAGAGCTTTAATGTTATGGATATTCCTGGAACCATGAAGTCAAAGTTATAGAAGTTCAGAGACACTACTATTTAGCCTTAGGTTTGCTAAACATTTCTTTTCTAGGGGGATACGGGGGTTGAACTCRGAGCCACTCGGCCACTGAGCCACATCCCCAGCCCTATTTTATTTAGAGACAGGGTCTCTCTGAGTTGCTTAGTGCCTCACTTTTGCTGGGGCTGGCGTTGAACTCCTGATCCTTCTGCCTCAGCCCCCTGAGCTGCTAGGATTATAGGCTGCGCCACTGGGCTCCACTGCCAAAAGTTTTATGTTAAATAATTTACAAGATCTAGGATAACATGTACCCATTATGTAAAAAATGTGTGCGTGTACATTAAAGGCTACGCCTCCTTCACTTAAAATGAATGATCCAAGTGGAATAAAAGAATGACTTATAGCTGACCAAGAAATAAATATGGCTCATTACATTAATGAAGGAAAATTAAAGAGAAAAATGTATTCAATGTTCATGACAAGTCAAGAAACACAGGTTAAAGATGATTTTATAAAGAAGAAAATCCACTAGAAAAAACACTACTTCAATCTCTGATTTACTGATTTTGCAGAAAGGCAGTCATGTTATATTGTCCTACAGATGATAAAGTTAGATATAACTAAACATGTTAGAAGTAGGTAAAATACTTCCTGAATTGTATCTTCCTGGGTATCCCCTAAGATGAGTATCTTTTCAATTTCATATTGTATAAACTGTAACAAATATAACTAGTGAAGACTATGACAATTAATATCCTCTATTAACCAAGGAAGGGTATCATACAGTTTAGTAAGATKAACACCAAAAATAGCTAAAATTATCTGAAAGCTTTAACTTGCCAAATGCAATCAATCCCTAGTCATGGACAACACATGATGGCAAAGAAGTCTATTAAAGTCTACGTACTCAATCTACAGGTTATTTTGAGGGCGTACTTTCACTCCTCGTCTGTTTGAAGAGATGAACTCTGCTCCCATTTAATGCAACTAAGAGATCTGGAACCCTCAGAACAAATTATCCTCTGTAACCTATCTAATTTCTAAATTTAGGATGTAATCTAAATTCACACTCTCACACCCTGTTTAATTCCTATTCCCTGCATCTTCTCAGATCTTTCAGCGATCAGAACCAGAAATGTATTATAATCAAACTATATGTTAGCAAAAGGGCTGCTGCTAAGGGATCCCTTACAAGTGATTCAATCCAGTAAAAATTACCATGGTAAAAATTCTGTACGAGGGCACAGGGTTTCTCCAACTGTTACGCAGACAATTCTCAAACTGTTTCTTGGGTTTTCCTATGTGGCTCCTCCCTGCTACCAAATGGAATATCTGTCTCCTTCCTATTAATGCTAATAACTAAAACAGAAAGGTATTCACAAAATGTATTGACTCTTAAACCTGGCATGAAAAAATATACTAATAATTAATATCTACTTATGGTCCTCCCTTCTTAAAAACTTTAATAAATGTATTTACTTTTCTGAGGTTAACAGGAAAATATTTGGTTTCCCATAGAACAAATTACAGATTTAACTTGAGGCAAAAAAGGTTAAGTGACTTACCCAAGGTTACAATTAGAGACCAGGTCTCCTGAGTCTCAGCTCAGTGCTCTTTTTCTTAGCCCATGATGCCTTATCAGAAAAATCCAAATACAGTCAGACCCCCAGTTACATGGGTATGAGTTACACTGATTCACATATACAAACTTTATATAGTGTGACCAATGTTTCAACTCACGCGGTACCCTGCTTCCATTTATGCAGTATGCCAGGCATCGGCACGATTTTCAGTGGCACACAGGCGGTTGCCACCACCAGGGCCCTAGGCAAAATTGCAAAGAAGGCAAAGTTTGTCTTTGGCCCTCCCACCTCCATTATGCATTCCTCTCCCACCTCCTGGTCATCCCCCTGCCCAGCCTCCCAGCACCATCATGCTGCCCACTAATTGTTCAAAGCCCCCCACTTTCACACTCACCCAGGACTGTCCTTTCTTGAAGTGCCCAGTGATCCAAAAATTACCTCTCCATTTCCCTGACACCAAAATTCCTATTCCTGAGGATTCCAGTGAAGTTTAGGTAATCTAAATGATTAATTCATTTAAGTAATTCAAGATAAGGTACATTTAACTCACAGACTTAAATGTCCAAGGAATTTTAAAAGGGATTAAAAACTCTTTTGGGAAGGGGAGAGGGAAGAAATATTTTGGAAGGGAAACTAACATTTTTCCAGAGCCCCAGGACTCCTGTGCCACTTCAGCTGTTTTCATGGATGGGAAACTGAAGATTGAGGGGGATCATGGCTACCTGAGCCTCACTAACCAAAAAAGAAAATGGCTGCTTCATAGTCAGTCTCTGGGGTTTAAAAAAAAAATAGGACCAAGCTGCCTTAAATGCCCTCCTACCTATCTTTTCCATCTCTTTCCCACCTCCTGGATCCCCATTTCCACTTCCAAATATACCCAACATAATTCCCCAGAAACAGTTTGTGTGTCTAATACAAGACTTCTCATTATATGGTTTCAAATTACATGATGTTATTCAGTGATGTCTCCATGTTCCCCTATCCCTGGATAACTTGCAGTTGACTGCTAAAAAAAAAAAAAAATCTAATTATTTAAATATCCTGAATTATATCAAATGTGTAAAATTCACTAAATATCTAGTTAGAAGGAAAATAATTTCTGATTACATCAAATACATAAAATAATTTGGATATATTAAAAAATTATTTTCCTTGAAAGTGGTATATTTCTTACTTCTGACCCAATATAGCAGTGAAAGTCCTGTTATTTCAGTTAAATATTATTGTGGACTCGTAGACATAAATTCATTCATAAATCCTCTAAGTCTGGAGGCAAAAACAAAACAAAAAAAGTCCAGTGACAGACACATAATATTAAATTTATTTGTATACAAAGCAGAATGGATTTTAAGAAATCCAGTTTTCTGCTGGGACTACACATCCGATAACATGCACGTATGTATGTGTTACTCTATCTTTGCAATACTAGATGAGATGCCTAGTTCAGAAATTTCTCAGGTGATGGTTACCTTGATCCAACTATTATCTTGCCAGTAATATCAGAAAATCTAATCTATGCAGAAAATACCAAAATGGTATCTGTCACGGATTAAAAGGATCACATCAAGTAAGTCTTGTGACTTTATTAAAAAGATTGTGTTAGTTAAGATCCTAGATGAAACCCCTTCCCAATACCCTCTCTCATGCTAGAAAAAGAGAAATGTTAAAGACATGCTGCAGTTATAACCATTCTTATCTACGCATGGAAAATGATAACAGTTACATTTCTCCAATGGCATTTTTATTTAACATTAATTCTCAAGGGTTTACTACACAAATAAACCTATTTTCTTCCCAATCTTTCCCTTCTCTCTATACAACCACAGTTTGTCATCTATACCTGTTTATCCTAATGTTCTATGAAGAAAAGTTCCCAGTGTGGGTTTTTACTAACACTAAACCGTTAACGCTGAAATGCCATTCTAAATATGCATTGCTAAAAATATTTTAATGCAATTAAGTTTTTTTTTCCTACTCACATATTTTGCTGCAAATCACTCAAGTAAATCATAAGAGCAACTATCATAAACTAAATTCAAGGGCCTTTTCTCCTAAGTCAAGCAACGTGAATAACTTCTCAAGAAAAAAGCATTTAAATGGCTAAGAAACTATTTGCCAAAACAATCAACATATAAAAACAAGGATTTTCGGTTTTTAAGAAAGTACTCAACTAGACCTTTCCTCCACGTTGTCGTGAATTTAAGCTGAATTTGAAAGAGTATATTACTAATTATTATCAACAAAAAAGCAACAGATTTCTTCGTTTTACTTAGAATTTCGCTATGACAAAAGATAATTCAGCACGTAGTTGCTTTCTGTACGGATTCTAACCTAAATGCCTAAAAATCTCTTTGTTTCCCTCGATTCTGCTTCACTGGGCATCAAATTTCCAAAATGGTCCTATTTGGGGCGCATGCAAGATTTGTCAATATTTACTGAACAAAGCCTCTATTAAATTGTCTAACAAAATGGAGGTCTCTCGGAAAAACAGGCCATAACATTTTTTTCTTTTCACAAAATGGGGCCAAACACACCCACTTCAAGAAACCATGGTTTGGGTCAGATTTTCCATAAAAATGGTTGATTCTGTGGGGATGGATGGTGCATCTCTGGGTCGGGGTAAGGTTTTCCTTCGCCCGGGGCGGGGGGAGGGGGCGGGTTGATTCTCTCTGGACTCTGGAGGACGGCGACGAGGGACGACCCAAGGCTCTGGGTTAAGGAACTAGATCGGGAGCGGGGGCTTTAGCCCGCAGGTACCTAGTCAGCAACAAAACGGGCCGCCCGACTACGCAAGAGAGACGTGGGCTCTCCCATCCCAGCCAAGTCAACATTGAAAGCACAAACTCCCCTTTCTGCCCCCAGGCCCCGCCTAGTCCCATTGGCAGCAATTCCCGCCAATCCGCATGGTCACCGCCCCCCAAGCCCGCCTGCCAAGCCCTGATTGGATGGGAAGGGAGCCGGGGACCTCGTGTTACCAATCTGGGAGCCCCTTACTCAGCCACACGCGCGCGCCCAGGTGCGCCCTCGGACCCCTTCCCGTCGTCGGCCCCATCCCCTCCCCCACCCCCAGGGCTCTGGCAGACACTTACCGTCCCTGGAGGTGCCCATCAACTGGTCCAGCATCGCGCGCATCTGGGCCTGCGCCGACATGGCGGCGGCGTAGCGGACGGACCGGCGGGGGTGGGGCGCAGACAGGGCCCTTTCGGGCGGGGGATGAGGGGAAGGGGTGGGGGAGGTGCGATGCTGTCTTGGTGGCCTCCGCAGCCGCCGCCTCGAGGCGTGCGGAAGGAGAGCCGGAGGGGTCGCGGGAGAGTCCGGGCTGCGCTCCTCACGACGACGTGTACGTGGAAGACAGCAGCTCCCGAAAGAGACCCTCGTGCCCTCACTCTCCGTCCGGTTCCAGGAACAGACGCGACACGGGCTAAGCAAGCTCTCGCCTCCAACACCGCCACCCGCCAGAAGCCGTCAAACCCCCCCTCCAAGCTGTGACGCCGCTCGCCGCCACCGTCGTCGCGACGGGAGCGCGCACGTTCCTCGCGCTGAGTCGTTTCCCGCGGGGCTCCACCAACTGGCATCCAACTGTCTTCGCTCCGCCCGCCGGGCCCGGGGCGAGGGTTCCACCCTAACGGCTCGCGGGCGCGTGCACGAGCACTGCCCCCTCCCCTCCCTCTAGATCTCGCGAGACTCTGGTACTTTAACAGACTTTCCAGCCGGATCTGCCCCGAGGCGCCAAACCTGGACCTCACAGCTGCAGTGAGACTAGGGCGGTGCTGGCGGGCCAGACCCCAATTAGCAAAATGTGCCAGAGGTTAGCCCGACGAAGTAAGTAGAGACCGTGCCCACCAGTTTGACAGAGACTCCCTGTCCTAACAGCTASCGTGGGCGTGTTCCTGATGAATAATCCCAGTTCCAAGGCCCAGCCCGAACCGAGTGGACGCGGCCTTTCTTCCACGGGACTGCAGACACTGGGTCACTGTCCCACATCTGTGCCCCCAGCTGGGACTTGTCAGGTTCAGGAAAGTACCCTGAAGTCAGTACCYCGGGAAACCGGCTCTCCTACCCCGTCGGATCAAGCGGGCAACTCTTAGGCTATATTTGAAGCTATAAAAATTAACCTGTGTCCTGAGAATTTGTGAGGAGGCGATCTTACAGAACCGGCGAGTCAGCGACTGGGACCACGGGAAAACCCGGGGCTCCACGGTTTCCTGTTGCCCTGCTCTGACCTTTTACTTTTTTTTTCCCCCTTGTACCTGCGATTGACCCCAAGGGTGTTTAAGCACTGAGCCACATCCCTAGCCCTTTTTTATTTTAAGACAGGCTCTCGCTAGGTTGCTTACATTCTCGCTAAATTGGTGAGGCTGGCTTCCAACCTGCGATCCTCCTGCCTCAGCCTCCCGAACCGCTGGGAATACAGGCATCACCACCACGCCCGGCTCAGCAAATGATTTCTTAATCTTGCATGTCGAATGGATATAACTACACAACTCTTGAAATATTGTTCTGAGAACAAAATGAGCCAACGGGAAATACCTAAACTAGATCTTTTGCCTGGTGTTTTTAAAACCTTTGGTAAAATTCTTTGAGACATTAATACTGTTTCCCTATAATTGTACATGCATCACCTTGGGACGTATAATTTCTGGTTAATGCATTATCAATTAAAMAATAACATGAAATAGCAAGCACAGTCCCAAGATCCCTTTAATTGTATAATGGGCCAATAAAAGTTTTAGAGTCATCTTTAGTAATTGACAAAAAATTTCTCTCTAGTTAGAAAACTTCAAATTCTAAACCAATCCAAATACTAGAACTGTCATTATCCTTTGAAAAGTGATTTACAACAGTAGAAAAATGTACAAATTAATGTCCTAGAGGGATGCACTATTAAACATTACCGTGAGAAACACTAGTATTGAGAAAGTACACCAAAATGTTGAGCCGCCCATGATGGTACATGCTTGTAATACCAGTGACTGAAGAGGCTGTGGCAAGAGGTTGGCAAGTTTGTGGGCAGCCTCAGCAATTTAGTAAGACCCTGTCTCACTAGCTCAGTGGTAAAGTGCCTCTGCATTCAATTCCCAGTACCAAAAATAAAAAGAATAATTTATTTTATTTTGCCATACTAGGGATTGAACCCAAGGGCACTTATCCACTGAGCCACATCCCCAGCCCTTTTTCTTTCTTTTGAATTGGTCTCAGTGAGTTGCGTAGGGCCTTGCTAAGACAGTGATGCTTGCCTCGAATTTCTGATCTTCATGCTTCCGCCACTCTAGCTTTCAGGGGGAGTATAGACATTGTATTATGGCATCCAGCTCTTTTTACTTTATTTAATTTTTTTTTGGGGGGGGGACACAGATTTCTCTAGGCTAGCCTTGAACTTGTAATCTTCCTGCCTTACCCTCCAGTGTAGCTGGGATTAAAGCCTTGGGCCACCATGCCCATCTTGAAAAATTATGTTTCAGTGAAGAAATTTTATTTATCTACTTTCTATCTTTCTGATTACATTTTACATTAACCTTCTTGGCTTACATTTTAGATGTATAAACAGCATAGTTGGGTTTTTAAAATAGTTTGGCATTTACTGTCTTTATTTTTGTTAGGAATAGAATCCAGGGCATTGTGCATGCTACCAAGCACTACAACTGAGTTCCATCCCCAGCTCACACACTTTTAATTGAAGCAAACTGAAGCATTTAATCATTTATATTCACGTTTTACTCATATTTTGCTGGACACAGTGGCAAATGCAACTCTGGAGGCTGAGACAGGAGAATTGCAAGTTCCACACCAGCCTCAGCAAATTAATGAGGCCCTGTCAGAAAAGGCTAGGGATGTATCAGGTGTGGTGGGGCATGACTGTAATCCCAATGTCTCAGGAGACTGAGGCAGGAAAATCAAGAGTTCAGACCCATCCTCAGCAACTTTTTGAGGCCCTGAGCAACTAAGTGAGACCCTGTCTCTAATAAAATATACAAAGGGCTGGGATGTAGCTCAGTGGATAAGTGCGCCTAGTAAAATCCCCAGTTACCGTCTTCCCATACGGTAGCCAGTGGCCAAGTGTAATAGTGGAAACCTAAAATCTCAGCAATTTGGGAGGCTGAGGCAGAGGATTACTAAAACCAGCCTCAGCAACTTAGTGAGATCCTATGCCACTTAGTGAGAACCTGTCTCAAAAAATAAGAAATAGGGATGTGGCTTAGTGACAAAACATCCACAGAACATATTCATTCAGTTTATTTGTGATAAGGAACTACAGAAGGTGGTAGTAGCTGAAAAAACAGTTAAAATAAGCCAAACTCAGTGCCACCCCTATAATCCCAGCTATGTCAGAGGTTGAAGCACAATGATTCCCAGTTCCAGGCAAGCCTAGGCAWCTCGTGTCTCAAACATAAAAACCAGGCATGGTGGCATATGCTCAGGGAGCCTGAGGCAGGAGGATSGTAAGTTCAAAGCCAGCCTCAGCAAAAACGAGGCAMTAAGCAACTCAGGGAGACCTTGTCTCTAAATAAAATACAAAATAGGGCTGGGGATGTGACTCAGTTGTCCAGTGCCCCTGAGTTCAATCCCTATACCAAAATAAATAAATATATAAGTGAACGTAAAAAAATAAAGGACTGGGGATGTAGCTCAGTGGTAAAGCCCTACTGGTTCAATCCCCTATGACACCAAGACAAATTTTTAAAATTTTAATTAAAAAAACATTTGAGATAAAGACAGAATAGTTATTTTTAAAAGGAAGAGCCTTGAGCATGTGAAAAATCCAGCGAGGGAGATGTTGATGTTGGCGSGGGGCCGGGGGGGTAAAAGAAACAGCAAAGTAAAGGAATATGATAAAGCCTGTTTCACATCCAAAACCAGAGGAAGGCATTGTCCTGCCAAAACCTCAGCCTTCCCTAGTCCCAGGACCCAGACAGTATAGAAAGTTCACTGCTAATACAGTCTGTGTTCCAAAATCAATTCTTTCTAACACTTAGTTGAGCTATTCTCCGCCTGCCCCATACTAGGGATTTAACCCAGGGGTACTTTCTCATTAGGTATCCCCAGTCTTTTTTTATTTTTTATTTTGAGATAGGGTCTCACAAATTTGCTCAAGCTGGCATCAAATATATGATCCTCTAACCTCAGCCTCCCTTGTTGCTAGGATTATAGGCACTCCCTGGGTTCAATCTTCACACAGCAAAAAGAGTGGGGGAAAGAAAAGCTGTTTGTTTTTTTTTTATTTTACTCTTTTTTTTTTAATATTTCTTAGGTGTAGATGGACACAACACAATGCCTTTATTTTTATTGGGTGCTGAGAATCGAACCCAGGTCCTGCCCATGCTAGCCACATCCCAGCCCCCTAGAAAAGCTGTTTTATTATACTGTGTTTGGACAGAAATGGYCTGAGCAAATTATTTAATCCATAACATTTGATATGTCTGTGCCAAAAACTTTCAGTCCTCCTGCTAAAACCTCCCAAGTAGCTGGTGTTACTGGCACGTGCCACCATGTCCAGTTCAAATCCCCTTACATATATTTCTTTTTAAACTTTTTTGTTTTAGTTATACATGACAATAGAATGCAGTTATGCACTTTGATATGTCATACTTAGATAGGATATAATTTCTCCTTTTTCTGAGTGTACATTATTGCAGAATCATATTGGTCATGCAGTCACATATATACATATAGTAATAATGTCTGTTCCATCCTACTATCTTTCCTGTCCCCACATCTCCTCCTCTCATCTCCCATCACTTCCCTCCACCAAATTTAAGGTAACACTATTCTTCCCTAGTGCCCCCACCATCTAATAGCATCCACATATTAGAGAAAACATTCGGCCTTTGGTTTTGTGGATTAACTTATTTCACTTAGCATGATATTCTCCAATTCCAACCATTTACTTGCATATGCCAAAATTTTACTCTTCTTTAAAGCTGAGTAATATTTCATTGAGTATATATACCACATTTTCTTTATCCATTCATCCATTGAGGGACACCTACGTTGGTCCCACAATCTAGCTATTGTGAATTGAGCTGCTTATAAACATTATTGTGGCTGCATCATTATAGTATGCTGATTTTAAGTCCTTTGGGTAAAAAGGAGTGGGATAGCTGGGTCAAATGGTGGTTCCATTCCCAGTTTTCTGAGAAATCTCCATACTGCTTTCCATAGTAGTTGCACCAGTTTGTAGCCACCAGCAATGTATGAGTGGACCTTTTTCACCACATCCTCACTAATATTTATTGTTAACCTGTATTCTTGATGATTTCCATTCTAACAGGAGTGAGATGAAATCTTTGTGTAGTTTTGATTTTCATTTCTCTAATTGATAGAGATGTTCAACACTTTTTCATTTTTTGTTGATTAGTTGTATTTTTCTGTGAAGTGTCTGTTCAGTTCCTTAGCCCATTTATTGATTGGGTTATTTATTTATTTGTTTATTTGTTTATTTATTTATTTATTTATTGGTGTTAAGTTTTTTCAGTTCTTTACATATCCTAGAGATTAATGCTTTAGCAGAGGTGCATGTGGTAAAGATTTTCTGTAAGCTCTCTCCTCACGTTATTTTTTCCTTTG